GCCCGACACGAGGCTCGGCAAGTGCTCACAGCGGCAAACACGATGCCGGCCACGCCCGCGGTGTTCAGCGTGAACGTCGAGTCCTCGCTGGCTGAATCGAACATGAGATGGTAGCACACTCCCGATGTCGTCGGCGTCAGGGTCAGCGCCGCGTCCGGGGAGACGTCTGTGCAATTGCCTTCGATCAGGACCGCAGCATCGCCCTCGAGCGATTCCATCGTCGCCGCCGTCGGCGTGTGGGTCGCGATCATCACGAGCTTCATCGTCGGGTCGGCGTATTTGCCGTTGACCTTCTGCGCCAGCCAGGGGCAGGGCCCAGGCAGCGAGGCAGGTGTGCGTCGTGTCGGCGCTGGTATCGAAGACGCCGATCCACTCGAAAGGCTGTGTCCAGGGCGTCGGCGGCGGCGGGGCGGCGGCGACGTTGCACCGACCGACGCCCGCGCCTTGCTTGCCCGAACGAAGATGAGTCCTTGTCGTTCAGGCCGCACCGCGGTCATGCGCGCAGCCGGGAGAGCGCTCAATCGCCGAACTCGGCGAGCGCCTCCATCGTTTCCGCTTCATACGCCTCCTGCCAGTAATTGAGCGCGTGGGTGTCGGCCGCCCTGACGCTGCACATCCACATTACCCAACCACCAATCTTACTCGCCGCCACCAGTCGAGACGCGCAAGCAAACGCCGCGACCGTATTCGTCAGCGGTCGGTAAGCACCCCGTCGGCAGCGCCGCCACCTCGCGCAGCAGCGGGCGGTACATACCCGCCTAACACAGCGGAACAGGTCTCGCGTGTAAGACTACTCGAGTGTAGCAGCCATGCGGCGCGGCAAGTACACATCCGACTGCTCCGGCGAGGCCTTCACGCTGCTGCCGCTCCTCTTCCTCAACAACATGCTCGGCTACGCAGACAGGACAAACCTCTCGGTGGCTGTCATCGCGATGAGCCGCGAGCTCGGCTGGGGCGAGGCGAGCACCGGCACGCTCCTCGCGTCATTCTTCTGCGGATATGTCCTCA